CCCCCCCCCCCCCCCCCCCCAATCGCCGCTTTTTTCGTGTTTGGTTGTCAGCTTTTCGTTTTTTGGCGGGTTTCTGCCGGTGTGTTGCTATATTGGTGCAGTGTGCCTCATCCAACCTGCGCTGGTTTGGTAGATGGTGGTACTGCGGTAGACATTTAGACACGGTCCCCGACAGATGAATAACTCACCCGCGCAGGGTATCACAACTTTGGAGACAAAGGGGCGTCGATTTCGGTTCGTCTGCACGGCTACTGTCGAGGGATGAGCCTCTCGTGTACTTGTTGTTGTGTTGGGGGGAGGGGGAGGGCTCGTGGTGTCGCCGCCGCATGGTATGTTATTGCGGCGGGATACACGTGAGAAGCGAACCCCCCTCCACGTGATGGTGTTTGTATCCTCGCCGATTGGCAGCTGCCGCGGCTGCAACAAACAAGCATCGCTACTACTGCTGTAGCAGGAACTGGTTAACTAGCACGGACCATGTTGTAGCCTTGATTTAACGCACTTCGAAGTATTCGACACTGACTATGCGGTACAACAAGATGCTCATGTATCGTATCATTTCCGGAAAACCGCGTGAAAGAAAACGTGGTTCGTTGGTGTTCACCTCAACATGAAAACCATCGCATGTGTTCACCAAGGGTGCAACCAAGGGTAAACGTCATTCAACGCCAAGCAAAGCCGCCCACACGATAATAACTGAACGATAGTCTAGACTAAAGCACAAAATGGTGACGATGATCGTGGCGATGAACAAATCACACGCCCTGTAAAATGGTTCGTTAGCAATCAGACACTCGACGACGATGCGCCTGTACGCTCAAAAAGGCTGGCGCTCGGAGCAACAAATCACATACAAGTTGCCGAGGCGCTCTATACGATGTTGAAACAGACAAACAAGACAACACGAGGACAAGCAAAAGGTTCCATCAAACTCAACACGACGTTTTTTCTAATCTACGCACACGCATTTTTTCGAAAACTCTGCGCTGTAGCTGCAGACATTAGCCCGTAGCTGTGTATGTATCCGCTACTGGAGGGATGGCCTGGTGAATGGTGACCATGGTCGTTGACTAGGATACCCCCCCCCCCCACCCCCCCAAGTCGCATTCCGACGACAAATAACCTCTCGCGGTACGTTCCAGCATCTGCAAAAAGAAACCTGAAGGGTAACGACGAGGCAACAAGGACGTGCTTCTAGGTCGCAGACTTCCATCTTCTCGGACCGACAAAAACAAAACAAAAACAACAGCAGGCATCAAGGAGTATTCTTCCTGACACTTGCCCCCGCAACCTCTCACCCCATTCCGCGAAACCCAAAACTCCTGTGCCGTCCAGTTGTCTGGCGAAAACCAAGATATCTTTCTTGTTGCCTGCACGGAGCAACACTTTCCAATCTCGTCTTCTCGGCACAACAAAATCTTGTGAAGAAGACCCAAAATTCACAACAAGACCAGCTCGAATGCCACGCACTGGGAGCAAGCAGGTATGTAGAGAAAATCATAACAAAACATACGGTCATAACAAAACATATGGCTTGTGGTCAAACACACACACCAAGCGCGGTTGGTTCTGAATCACCGCTGCCTGTGGACGAAAAGAGCTACGTACACGCATCGATTGGTCGAGAACCCGCAATAAACCATCGCTACCAACGGTCAGCGGGACTCAACTAATTCTAGATGATTGATGATTGCAATACGAACTCCCCCCCCTTCGCGCGCTCAAACATTAAAGGTGTCTCTAGTGAAGAGTAGGAACGCGCTTCGTTTTGTGGAGGATACGCGGTCAACGGCAAAATGGACCTCCAAGCGAGCAGCACACAAGCATACCCCCCCCCCCCCCCCCCCCGTTTTA